ATTTTTATCTAATCATAGAATTATGGACTGGTTTGGGTTGAGTTGGGACTTTAAAGCTCATCTGCTTCCATACCTCCCACTATCCCAGGTTGGTCCAAGCCCTCTCCTAGAAATTTGTTGGAAGAGTAAGAACACAAGAGAGAATTACAGAATAAATCAGAAGCTTGAGCACAGGCAAAGGACTTTAGTGGGCACAGAGAGAGGACAAGGAAAACAAAAGAAACCAATGAAAATATTGATGGGAAGAGTCAGGAGCTGCTGGGAGAAGCAGCCATTCCTCAATGGCCTTTCAGTCACCTGAAAAGGAATTTTTTTCCCTCAGGATAACTTTTTAGCAGTCTTGCAGGGATGCCTGTGGTTCTTATTTTTAAATTATTTTTAAAGAAAATTTTCTTTAGGAGCAATAAATGCATTCTGTCTAGGAGAATATATTGCTTAACAAAAAGAGCAGGCCAAACTTCCAGACTAATGGGGGGAATATTACCCTGGAAGACAGGACAACTGGATTGTCATCCCAGTGCTTTCCATGGTCTGAAAAAAAGTAGGATATCCTGTTTTGACATAATGGAAAGACTTCCAGAAAAAATTCCAAAGCCTTAAGCAACCACTTCTCAAAAATTTCTTGAGAAAAGGAGAATTTCCTGTCTGTTGGTTACTACTTGAGGGAAAACACGATCAAATCTTTTTTTCAGCTTTCAAATAGAGCCAACAGTTGTTTAAGGATGTAATTTCATGCTTGGGAAGAAGCTCTCCCACAGCATCTTGATGCCCATTAGGGGGAAAAAATCCTCATCAGTGTCACTAGGATTAAAATCAAATTTGAATGGCAGGAAGCCCAGTCCTACCTGTGCTCTTAGAGCAGGAAAAGGAGCATGCAGAGAAAAGGTGGAAGGTTCCAGGTGGTGTCATTGCTAGGGGTGATCCCATGGCTGCTGAATGAAGTTCCACCCTGGAATGTTGACTTTGAGACAACAGCACAACAAAAAAGAGAATGCTTCCTTTTCCCTTTCATCCTAATCAAAGCAGCAGGGCAGTCCTCAGCATTGCTTTAATCTTTGTTTTCAGCAGTAGTTTCTGTTTTTCTCCACGGTGATATCACCACTCCAAAAACATTGGGACAACTCCTTTGGAGCAGCCCAAACAAAGGAAGGAGCAGCTGCTCTGGGCCCCACCTCAGGTCCTTTCTGCTTCTGGACTGAGCTGAGGGTTCCCATCACACAGGTGATGTTCCACCACTGCCTTTGGGGTGCCCCAAGTCCACCTGAAGCTGGACAACAGGGACATGACAGCAGGACAGGCCCTCCTGGACCTGCCAGGGGCTGATTCTGTGCTGTCCAGCAGGGAGGAGGAGGAGGAAGGGATGCTGCAGCACATTGGAGCAATCCCATCTTGGATGCTGCCTCCAGCCTCCTGCTTGTGCAGCACCACTTGTGGATGAGCTGCAGGGCTGGCTCTGGGGCTGGAACACCCAGGAGTGGGAGGGATGGGATTCAGCAGCTCTGGCAGACACCCCTATGGAGAGATGATCCCTTTATCTGCCCTGGCAGAGGGACACACGGGATCTGGGAATCTGGAGTGGAGCTGCCCCTGTGCCCTGGATATCAGGGCAGAGTCCCTGGAGTGGGTGTTTGATCTCTGTTGAGTCTCAGCCTTCACTTTATCTGTTATTTCACTGTTCCCTGGACCAGCAGAACAGTTTATTTGGGGTTTGTGCTGCCCCATTCCCCATATTGGTGCTGATCTTGACAAATCCACTGCATTCCCAGCAGGGCAGATCCTTCATCCAGGAGAGGGGCAGGAGAGGGGTGAAACACAAATGGGCCTTCACAATCATCTTACAGGAGTTACTGTGGACTGATCCTTTTGGCTGGCCCATAAAAATAAGGCCAATTGATTGAACAGTATGTGTTAAAGCTCATCAAATACTAGCTAGGAAATGCATGATTATTATTCATAAGCTGTAAGTGATTTGAATGTTTTCCTTCAGTAGGACTGGAACCCCTGTGTTAGAATTTGTTGTTTTGCCAGAAAAAAAAGCTTTATTCACAATGGGGAGTTCACATAATGCACAATAATTTTAAGGAATCCTGAATGCTGCAATTTGATTTTTTCCTCATTGCTCTCTTGGTCAGTTTTGTTTGCTGCCTCAAACTTCCTATTCCTAATTCTGCTGTCCCATGTTCAGTGTAATGTCTGTTGCATTTTTATCACGGGCTTTTCACCTTTCTCATCTTTCCCTCATTCTTGCAGGATGAGGGAAACAAACAAACCAGAAAGCAATCAGACTGGAAAATCCCCAAACACAGAAATCAATGTATGCTACAGCTCGATGCCTCTCTTTTGAGTCTTGCTTTCAGCTTCTGCAGCTCAGAACTTTTATCAATTTTAAGCCCATAGTCTGTGATTTTCCAGGCCTCTTCGTAGCGCTGCTTTTCAAAGTTATATTGTGCAATTTTGTGAAAAATTTTGGTTAAAGATTCCCTGCCAGGGCAGTTGGTGATGGTGCCCAGGGCCAGGGGCTGGTCCAGCTGCAGAGCCTCCATGTAGTGCTGCACTGCTGCCTCCTCCCGAGCCAGGGCCAGCAGCAGGAAGCCCTGGCAGCAGTGGTCCCCAGCCTGTGTTTTTGGGCTGTTACAGCCGTGCCCCTGGATCACTTTTTCCATGTCTTTCAGAGCTTTTTCGTATTTTTTCAGGTGCATCAGGCAGGCAGCTCTGTGCCTCAGGTACCTGGGGCTGTCCCTGCTGGCCAGCACGGCCAGGCTGTGGTAGCCCAGAGCCTGCTCGTGGTGGTGGCTTTTCATCAGCACCTTCCCTTCCTGGGCTGCTGCCTGTGGGGACAGAGGGAATCCATGTTAGTTAATAAAGGGGGAAAAATAGGGGAATGTCTACTCTGGACTGCTCATAGACACAGACAATAAGAAATCTTATTTATTCTATCAAATGGTGGAAGTACATCTAGCTGGAGAACTGATAATTGGTGTATTTTTGCATACAGATAAGATATAAAACTCTTGGCTCACTGGGCACTTGCTGTTATCTCAGGAGTTTTTGAAGTCCTTTGTTTCTGCATGTCTGCAAGATTTCTGAATTTGTTTACATTCCTTAGGAATGATGAACAAAAAACTGCCTGGACCAATGACTCCAGGTGCAGCCCCACAAATGCAAGTGCTAAAAATGTTTTGTTTTTTTTTTTGTCTCTACTGGAGCTTACCTAAACTGTAGAAAAAAAAAGGCCAACTGGTGGCTTTTCTAATTGTTAATCTTGAGTGCAAATTTGAGCTCTCTGCCCTCATCTGAAGGGAAAAACAACAAGAAAATAGAAAAAGCCAAAAGAGCAACATAATTTTTAGGTTCATGGAGGTCAATAAAGAAAACTCCATTAGAACTATTTGCCTCAAATGGATTTCTCATTATTTCCCTTTATTGGTAATAAATAAAGCTTTTAATGTGCTGCAACAGAGTGAATATTCAATTTATAAACAAGGCTGCCATCAGCAGCTGAGGGCTTACAAAGGCTGGGCCAAACAAAGCTTCAAGTAAAGGATAAATGTTTCCACCCTCCTCATTTCATGGGGTCACTCCTGCTTGTGGATGCAGAAATCCAGGTAGCCCAGCCACTGTCTCAGTAGCCACACTTGACAGCCAGGTCAGGTCCTCCAGCCTCTTTGTGTGCCCCTTTTATTTTGGCTGGCTGAGGTTAGAATTGATTGCTGTCTGCCAGGACTGAGGAAAACAGGAAAGGGATCAATACTGCAGGGCAAGTCCCAGCACCTCATCTGAGAGCAGTGGCATGAAATAATCTAGCCTCTCCTCATGGTTTATGAGGAATTCTGCCCCAGTTATTTCATTATAATGCACATAATAGATGTATTTTTTTTTGTTATTTTGCTTGACATAGTCATATTTATTAAGGAATCTCTCAGCTTCCACACAGAGAAATAGCAGTAGGACCTCAACCCCTGGCTTTAACAATTCTGGCCATAAATTTTCAGGCAGCCTGTCCAAACCCATCTCAGGTGTCTGATGTACATTTAAAGAGCAGCACATTTACTTTATCCTTTAAAATGTTTTTATGACAAGTCTCCAATGCAAGTGTCCCCTCTGTGGCAGGAATTTAACAAGGGATCAAGGTGGAATTGCAGCTGTGTGAGGAGCATCCTGGCAAGGGAAGGTGTTTTTTTCCCCCTAGAAATTCCAGACTTCTGGATCACATTGTTCCAAGGAACACAGTGCAGTTCCTCAAGATAGCTTGTGTTTGTGTAGTTAAATTGCCATTTTCAGCCTCTAAGGTGCATTTGTTGTCTCAGAGGCAGAAGAAAACACAATTGTTTTTGTGCTGAATGCTGAATCTGATGCTGGAAGTTTCAGTGCTTTAACCTGGGGCATTTGGGGTTATTGCACCACAGGCAATATTGCATTTATTCACTGAACCACTGCTTTGACTCCTTCACATTTCCCTGAGAGTCCCCAAATCAAGCCATGAGATTCTGCCTTTCCTGCCACACTTGGAGGAAAAATCCCATTTGAAAAGAAAGGATTCCCTTTCACCCTTGCTGATGGAGCAAGGTTGGGCAGCTGGATTCTGGATTCTCTTTTGGCTCTGCCAGACTTTAGGGATCTGAGGTGGGACATTTTTGGAGTGTAACAGGGAAAGATTAATCAGCAACTTGCACATTATCTCCTAACAGAGATAAAGATGAAAACCAGGCTCAGGGAAAGAAGGCAAAGGAAGCCAGGACATGGCACAGCTGAGTTCAGCTGCTCCCTGCACGTGGCCTTGGAGAAGCATTTTTGTCATCAGCCTCATTGCAGGTGACCTGGAAGGGCAGGAAAATCTGTGGAGTGCATTCCAGAGGAACTCGAGTCCAGCTTGTCACTAAAGGTTTGATTTTGGCTTCCAGACTGAAATAATTCAGGTGCCAACCTGGAAGGGGTCATGGGTGGGTTCCTGGATTAGGTTTCTGTGCCCCTTTTTTGCATCTATTCACCTCTCTGAGTGTAAAGGACTGAACATACACATATTTTTGTGGTGTTTTTGGTTCCAGTCCCTAGGGACCAATCTTCTGATATGACCAAGGCTTAATTCCTTAGAAAGAAAAAGAGTGAGGAGTTTACTGGACATGGAATTATGGCCAAGGGTTAGTCCCTGAGCAGTAAATCCCAGCAGATGGAATGACAAACTCTGAGCTTCGGGAGAGGGTTGGGCGTTTCCAGAAGAGTTTGGAGCAGATCTTTTCTCCTCCACCTGCACGTGCCATGAAGGGAATTTGGAATGGCAACTTCACCTAATTCTGGCACAGACCATGTAGTTTTGGAGACCCTTTTTGTAGGAATCTGGATATCCACAGAAGTTGCAGCCCCGAGGATCTGTGTGAGGGGCTGGGAATCAGCCGTGCATTTACCCCTGACTTAGGAAAGCCAAGGGTTGAAGTTGCACGAGCAGCAAGCAAACTCCCTTCCTCTGACCTTTTGCAGCTTAATAAATCTTTCAGATTCCTATTCCCATGGGGCTCTCCCAGTTGTTTACAAATTTCTCAGCATGGGACCCCTTCAACTATAAATAATGGGAGCATTTTATTGCTTTGTTTTCCATGAATAAAAAAGAGTACATCAAGGAGCTCTCTCCTTCCTCCACCCTTTCCTACTCAGCTTATGGAGAACTATTTTTATCTCTTCAGACCTGGCTCCAGGATAATGATGACACGTTTTTAAAATGCCTCTAATTCCAAATACTCAAAAAACAATGTGGCAGAAACGCTTTTGTGCTGGAGTGCTGAGGCTGGGTGTGAACTCTGAACTCTCCTTTTCCTACCTGGGAAATTCAGGAACAGAGCAAACTCCCTCTCCCAGGGTAGGAAACCTGGAAAAGTCAAGGCATCATTGGGAATTTTAGCACTAATCTTGCCTGTAAGCTTTTGAAACTTTGCTTTTACTGAGATCTTCCTTTCACAAACCAGAATAACCTTGCAGGCAAAAGGAAATGCTGCTGGGAAATCCTTTGAGACACTGGGCAGGTGGATGAAACAATTGCTTCCCCACCCCAGAGAGCACACACTCCTCCCCTGGTCACAAAATACATCTAAAAGCCCCCAGGTGCTGGAGTTCAAACATTTACTACTTGAACAAAAGCATGAGATGAAAGAGAGCAATGGTTTTTTTTAACTTCTAGCACTGGTATTGGGCTCCAGTTTTGAAATCAGCCTGGTCACACCTCTTGTCTCAAGCAGAGGAATCTCTCATGATAAATAAGCCACAGTGAAGGGTTTTATTTCAGACACAGCTGCCAAAAAGAAATAAGTTTCTCTCCCATTTTAAAGGCTTCACTCGCCTGTGGCACCAGTGGGTTCTCACACATCAGTGCAGTATGAGCAACACAGATGTTAGTTTGTTTTTTTCTTCTCATTTTTCTTTTCTTATTGACAGCAAAGAACATCCCTCTTGTGTTGCCTGGGGAAGCAGCATGGATGGACTGGGCTGTGAGACCCCCACAGAAGGAGTGATGTGGCAGCAGGGGAAATTCAACTGTAAAATGTGTCTTCATTTACAGACACCTCCTTAGGGCCTCCCTAGTCACAGTCTCAATTGTTCCTTTATCAACTTTCTGAAGTGGAAGATTACAAATTGCCTCTGAAATCTTCCAACTCTTCCCCCTAAGACTGAACTTTTTACATTATTTAGGAGAGAGGGGCTCTTTTCTCTGTAATGGGGCATGTCTGGGGACTGGTAAATTAATACTTGTTTACTTATATCCTCCTGCTGTTCTGTTCAAATACATTCCAAGGGCTCCTCTTGCTGCATTAAGGATATCAGCATGTTGTTTGTTTTATAACCTGGGAGAGAGCATAACAATATAGCTTCTCACCAGGGTGCACACCAGCAACAAATTGAATAAAAGGAAGCAAACTGATTCTCAGAACACAGAGCTTCTGGGTAATCAGAATTGCAGATGCTTGGTTGAGTGTTAAAACTCTTCACCATCAATCTGACCTTCTCCTGTCTTATTATTGGAGATTCTGGGTGTACTTTGGGGGGAAAACTAAAAAAAAAAAGCTGAATAATAAATATTTGAGGGGGAGCCAGAGGTATGTGACATTGTTGTGTTAGTGGTAGCTAAGAAAACCAGCCTCAAAGCTTTTCATTTTATAAAAATATGAACATATTAAAAATCCAAAATGTTGCACAAAAGAGCAAGAAGGATGGAAGCACTTAATGTCACTGAATTGAAATATTCAGTATAATTTTACCAAGAAAATGAAGAAAAGATGAATCTCCCTTCCCCAGGAGCTATCTATGAGCCCTATGTATCCCCAGACTACTACAATTAGCAATGAGCTGTTAATTCCTACCTGCTGCCCCTCACACCCCCTGAATTTCAGTGTGGGCATCACCAGGTCTTGTGCCAGGGAGACCAAAAAGGAATCCCAAGAGCTCACATGTGGCAATGATGATTATTGATTAATGATTATTAGAGACTGATCAAGGTCACTGTTGTGGAAGAAGTTTGCCTCCAAACCCCTGACCTGGCAGGAGGAAAAGCCAATTTGTGCCCTGTCCATCTGATGAAACTCTTCTCAAGGCAGGGAGAAATCCCTGCAATCCCAGTTTTGCTTCCCAATTCTTTCCCCCACTGAATCCACGGGTGTGGGATCAATGAAAAGGGCTGTACCTGAGCGAGATGCTGCTGTTGCTTGGTGTCTACAAAGTTGAGGAGAAAGGCCAAGTCCTTTTCATCTCTCCTGGCCAGGACACTGAGGGGGGCAGCTGCCCCTGCCACGTTCCTGCTCTGCAGCTGCAGCACAGCCAAGCGAGCCCTGGCAAAGTCCTCAGCAGGACAGTGGCCAAAGGCTTCCTGCAGGTGCTTCAGGGCCTCTTGCTGCCTTCCTGTTGGGGAACACCAGCACAAAGTCCATAATCCATCCCATGGGGAGAAAAACACTGAGAAACCTCAGCAAGGCAGGGTTCAGGCAGCCAGTCCACACCTAAAGGTGTTAATTAGGTCATACCCTGCCCCAAAATGTTTTCAAACTTCTATTGAAAAGCACCATCCCGACCATCCAGCATTATCCAACACCATCCAGCATTGCCAGCATCATCCAGCACCATCCAGCACCATCCAGCATTGTCAGCATCATCCAGCATTATCCAACACCATCCAGCACCATCCATCACCATCCAGCACCATCCAGCACCATCCAGCACCATCCAACACCATCCAGCACCATCCAGCACCACTCTTGACATTAAATATTCACTTCTATCCATTTTCTGCTTGCTCATCAGGCCTGACCAGCTGTGCTGAAGGACTCAACTCACCATTTGCCATCAAAACATCAGTGTAGAAGATGTGATGTTGTGCAGCCCTGCAGATTTTGATCAGTGCTTTTGCCATCATGAGAAGGTCCCCGAGGGTTTCTTTTCCCGGGAGGTCTTTGGTGGCCATGAGCTCGGTAAGAGTGGCCCTGCCATGCTGGAGGAGCCACCCAGTGACCAACCCTTGGGCTTCAGGCTTCAAGGACAGGATTGCTGGGATCACTGCTCCTGCCTCCACCTTCAGTGCTGAGATCAGATCTTGCACTGCCTCCTGTGGAAAAACAAAACCAAGGAAAGAAATGGAAGCAATAATTAAGTATTGATCATTTGTTCTTTCAGCTGCTTTCTGTTCTCTGCTGAATCATGGGAAAACTTCACTCTTCCCTTCCTTGTGCTGCAATTTCTCCATTTTCAAAGCTGATAGGAGATTATAAAGGCAGGTTTGAATGAATGTTTGCAAAGTGTTTTAAACTCCTTGGGTTATCATAGAAAATAATGGCCAAGGTTTAGTCTTCCAACACCATGAACAGGCTAAACTGACTATTCTAGGCTTGGGAAAGAAAATCAGTAACCTCAGGTGGGCTGTTCATGCACCCAGCCAAACCCAGAGCCTTTCACTGCCCAAATTCTATGAGAAACTCCTGATTCCAGCGATTCCATGACAAATTCTGTGATGCTTTACACTCACATTGTTCAATTCCCTCAAAAAAATCAACAAAGCCCCACGTGGACAGTACCTTCTGCTGCCTCAGAGCGAGGTGAACAAACCCTCGGCCACTCAGAGCTTGGACATTGCTGGGGTCCTCCTTCAGGACAGCATTAAAATCAAAAATCGCTGTTTTCATCTGCCCCAGGCGCCCGTAGCATCGAGCCCTGGTGAGGAGGCAATCCTCAGCATAACCACCTGGAGGACAGGGATGCAGCCATGGTTACTGCAGGGACACCCACAGGAAGCTACAAAAAAAGCTCCACTTGGCCTGAGGATACTTCAGGATGAAGTACAATGAGAGTTTGCTGAAGTGGAAGTTTCCTTTATTTTTGTTGCAAGTGGAATTCCTACCATGTGTTATCAGCTGTGAGTCGAAAGGAAAAAAGAATCTGTGTCAGGTTGGAGTGGGAGCAGCATGAATGAGAGGAGAAAGCCCTGAGAGGGAGATCTGTGACTATGTGAGAGTGGAGGCACGAAGCCATTTGGCTGTTTTAATAAAGTGAGGTCAGAATCACAGAATAGTTTGGGTTGGAAGGGACCTTAAAGAGTCCCCAGTCCCCTGCCACAGGCAGGGAAGGTACACATTGTTTTGGATAAATGAGTTATCCAGATGGGACTGACTAATTCCCTGCCAGAATTAATATGCACTGGGATTTGTGATACTGAGCTGCCTTTTTTTTTTTTTTTTTCCTTTGCTTTCACACAAGTGCTGCCCAAATAAACACATAGAGTTGTCAGTGAAAATCCTGGTCCCTCCACTCCCTGCCTGCAGAGCATTTCTTTCCCTGTCATCCACATATCCCTTCCTTCCAAGGCAATTTTGATAAGGATCTTAACATGCCCAGGGTTGCAATCAATAACTGTGGCATCCAATATGGGATGATAAATCATCAGTGCCACTGGAAATATGTTTTCATAGAGAGGTCAGCAAATGCAGCTGCCTGCAGAGATCAGCAAGCAGACAGGCTCCAAGCAATTCCTCTGCAGTAATGAGGCTTTTCCTCCCTCCTGATTTGCTCCAAAACTTCTGTACCAAAGGCTATTATCACTCTGGAGCTCTACCAGTTGGCTCCTCTAAAGACAATATCTATTTCTTAACAAGCATCTGTTCTAGCAGGTGGGGAGCTGATAAGCTGGAATGCACGGGCTGTGAAATGGAACCATCTCCAAGCAATTAACAGGGTTTTTATTCCATTTCCATGAGCCAGTCTCTCTTCTTCTCAGTGCTGCTGTCATAACATTTGCTCAGAGTGAAAGGCAGATTTCCATACAAACATGGTTTTACTTGGAACACGCCAGAAGTATTTCCATGTCAGCCTGGTCTCTCTCCTGAGGGAAAGCTGGAATAGTGAAATGTGTGAGAGGCTGTGCTCACTTTGCACTGGGTGAAGAAAAGGGGCTGATGTCCCTGTACAACAGAGCCGAACCCATTACAAGGAGTTTAAAATTTATTTCCTTATTGTTTAATTACACCACTTCATGGCCCAGCTGACCCTGCTGTGTCAGCCCTCACCGGGGAGGTGACAGAGGAGATCTGGACATCCTGTGCCACCCACATGATTTCCCTTAGGAGCAAATCCCCCACGGGCATCCCTGTGTCCTACCTGCAGCAAGGATGGCAAAGGACAGGTGGGCAATGGCCTCTTTGATGGCAGCACCCTCCTGTTTGCCCTTCAGGATGGCCAGCGCTCGCCAGCGGCAGTGGCTCTGCAGCAGCTTGCGGTCCTCGTCCTGGAAAATGTCCAGGATTGGCAGGAGGCAGGAGGAGTCTCCAATTCTGATCAGCCTCTTCAGCAGCTTTAAGGATGGGAGAGGAAAAGGCAACAGAGAAAGCTGAGTGAGATGTGAGGTTGTGTGGGAGATCACTGTGCCCTTCCCCAGCTTCCCCAGCTCTCCCTGGAGCTTCAGCCAGCCCAGGAGCACAAACCTCCCTGGTTTATCTCCTCAGCTGGCCCTGGTGTCAATGCAGGCTGGAGAAAACAGGAATTCTTATCTTTCCTCACCACCACTGCAGCTATGGAAATAATTCTGGGCAAATAACTGGCGCTGCCTGCTTTGTTTTGGGCAGCATCTGCTCCACATTGGCAGTGGAGTGTTTTTATAAATACAGGATGATTGCCCGAAAAAAGAGAATGTTCCTGTGGAACACAAGGATTCCGGTGACCTTTTTGACTGCAAAATCAAAATCAGTGAATTAATGGCAAATTAGGGAAGTGCTGTAATTTATTTTTAGTATTGTTATCGGGAATCTGGGAAAAGCATGAATTCAAACCACAAAGTACTGTCCTCCTGGAAAAGAATCCTGTCTGAGCTTTGGTATCTTTGCCTCAATAAACACTTTTTTACTGCATTTCCAATTAAAATGAACCAAAAGATGGTTTTTACAGTGCTCAGCAGGGACTGGATATTAAAATCTGAGCCAGAGAAGCCTGGACAAGAACAAATTATCCTGATGTACCAGACACATCCCTTGAACTCATAACTTTCTGTATTTTATTAATAGATAAAAGTGAATGGCTTCTGACAGGCAGGTGGGGTAAAAATATTTTGAAGAGAAATTTTCAGATGTTCTATGAAGAGCTTGCAGCAGAAGCTGCAGATGCAAATCCAACTTCCAAGGGCAGCACTAATAAAGCCACACCCCTCATTAACAGCCATCCCAAAGGCATCAAGTTAAAGCAAACTTTTATTTTTCATAGGCACTAGTGAAGTGCTGACAATAAAAGCTTTCTCCTTATCGGTTAGCAGAATTTATATGGCATTTAAAAAAAATACAATAGTTCCCTCTGATGGCAGAGCCTGGGAATTCAGCTTTGTGATCCTGGGTGAGAGAACCAACTTGCTGGAATGGCTTTCAGGATTTCAAGCACAATTTATCAGCATTGGAGAAAGAAAACTGCCGACTGTTGGAGTTTCTGTGTTTGTGTTTTTCTTCTCCAGCGCTTCATTAGGATAATTGAGGAGGTGGCTCTTGTGCCTTCTTTTCTCCAAGGGAACATTCCCAATCCCATAATATTGTCCCCAGGGACAGGATGCTCTGCCTGGTTAAAATGCTGAGAAATGCCAATAAAAAGCATGTGGGGAATGAACTGGATTTAGCTGAGAGTCCCTGTATGGCCTTTTTGGACACAAATTCCTGTGATTCTATGACTTTATGGAAATATCAGCCCTGTAGTTACACCTTTAAAGTTCTGCTAGAAATTTCACTGTGTCACAGCTCTCCCTGTCACTATTTGGGGAGCTCCTAACAGCAAAGTTTATTTATAAAGGGGAAATGCACCCCAACCACTGAACACAGGGATCAGTCTGTAATTTCACTGTGGTCTGGGACAAATCAGCTGTTGAGGAGGGAATGATCCTGAGGATGAGGCTTTCCAGGTGCTCCTTACCTGGTTGCCATCATACACAAAGCCTCTCTTGAGCTGCAGCAGGGCCAGCCTGGCCAGCACAGGAGCCCTCTGGGGGTTTCTGGAGAGGGCCAGTGACAGCATCTTGTGGGCTTCTTCCCCACGGCCCATCTGGTACAGGGCATCAGCACACAGGATCTGGGATGCCTCATCAGAGCTGTCCAGCTCCACCAAGAGAGAAGCCAGCTGGAAAACCCCTGGGGCATCTCTGGAGGGGAAAAAAAGCCAACAAAACAAAACAAAACAAAAAACAAAACAAAACAAAACACCTTCAAGGTTAGGAATGTGCACAGCCCTGTTTGCTTTTTCTGAAAGGAAACGGAGCTGCCTCCTGGGTACCTCTTCTTCTGGAGCATCATCTGTCCTTCCTCCTGGAGGACCTTCAGCAGCAATCCCCTCTGGTTCCATGGCACGTAGGACTTGATGGTGAAGATGGTTTCATCCAGCTTTAACTGGCAAGCTGTGATATAATCCAGGGCTGTCAAGTAATTGCTGCCCCCAGAAATGCGGATCAGCCCACGCCCACACAGAGCTTTGATGCAGCTGTTGGGATGTGGGGAGTCGTGCTCAATGACCCTCTGGAAGTCCTGCAGGGCTCCCTGGTGGTCCTGGGCATGGAGGGAGCAGAAGCCCCGCAGTGCCAGCAGGGTGTTGTGGTACGTGTTCTGCTCTGCTGCCAGCAGCTGCTCACACATGTCCAGGGCGGCCCCGGGGTGTCCCTGCAGGAGGTGACAGTCTGCCAGCCGGACACTGAGCTCCCGGCTGGACCCTGGGCAGATGTGCAGGAGCAGCTGGATTGTCTGGATGACAGGAGGGAGCAGCTCAGTGCCATGACTGCCCCTGAGATCAGCCCGAGCACGCACAGCCTCCCTGTACGCTGCAAACCTCCCCTCCAGGGCAGCTCTGGCCTGCTCCTCGATCTTCTCAGCATCACTGGGTGAGAAAAGCTCTTCAAAGCATTTCATTGCCTGAGCAGGGTCTGCTGCAAAGGCTGCTGCTAAATCCTGCATCATTTCCTGCGTCCATCCACCCAAGAAGAAATACCCAGCAGCTCGTTCCAGCAGCAGAGCCAGAACATCCTCACCTCTGAGGTTCTCAGCAGAGAAGCCCTCAAGGGCCTTGGTGCAGACAGCCACACACTCCTGAAATTCTCCTGTTTTCAGGAGGTGAGCTGCCCGTGCCCTGCTCACCCAGGCGTGCCCTGGTGCCACGGCAGCCAGGAAGGTGTAGCAGTCACCCAGCCACTGCTCCGAGGCTCTGCAGCCTGGCCTTTCCTCCTGGCACCTGGAGAGGTGATCAGAGAAAGCCTGGACGACCTGGGCCAGGTGCTCCCTTTGCCTGCTGCACACATAGGCCACTGCCTCGTTTCGATGCAGCACAAAGGCTTGGACATAATCCACGATTCCTTTCCCAACCTGTGTCCCTGACAGCACCCGTGCCAGCGCCCTCAGCAGCAGCAGCTCCATGGAATCCCTGGCATTATCCTCCAGCAGCAGATTGCATTTGCTCACCACCTCCTGCGAGCAGCCTCGGCGGAGCAGAGCCTCCAGCTCGTACACTGAGGCCACCACGTTGTTGGGGATGAGGGTGGAGAGGAAAACTGCGGCGATCCCCACGCTGAGGGACACCATGGCCAGGTTCCTGCTCTGGATCTCGGGGATCTGGGCCTTGCCTTGGCACCAGGCCTCCAAGGTGGCCACCACTCGCTGGCAGGGCCCAGGGCCCATGGCACTCACTCTCTGCACTGCTGTGGGGGCACAGCAGCTGAAGGCAGCCAGGTAAAAAGCAGTGGCTGCTGGAAATTCCTGCAGGGAGAGCTGCTCGTCCCCTTCCCCACAGAGCAGGGCGGCGAGGTCCTCGGGTGCCATTGCCTGGGCCTGGGCCTTCACCGGGCGGCATCACAGGGGCAACATGGCTGGGGCCTGGGAAACACAAAGGAGGGAGCAGGGCTTGAGCAGAAAATCTGCACTGAGGGGCTGTGGAGAAGAGTTTGAGTAGAAAATCTGCACTGAGGGGCTATGGAGAAGGGTTTGAGCAGAAAATCTGCAGAGGGGCTGTGGAGCACAGGTTTGATAGAAAATCAGTAATGGTGGGCTGTAGATTAGGGTTTTATCAGAAAATCTTCACTGAGGGGCTGTGGAGCAGGATTTGAGCAGAAAATCTTCACTGAGGGGCTGTGGAGCAGGGTTTTATCAGAAAATCAGTAGTGAGGGGCTGTGGAGCAGGGTTTGAGCAGAAAATCAGCCATGAAGAGCTGTGGAGCTCAGTTTTAGCAGAAAATCAGCAGTGAGGGTCTGTGGAGCTGAATTTGAGCAGAAAAACAGCAGTGAGGGGCTATGGAGCTGGGTTTTAATAGAAAATAATCATGAGAGGCTGTGGAGCAGGGTTTTAGCAGAAAAACAGCAGTGATGGGCAGCGGAGCACAAGTTTGACAGAAAATCAGCATTGAGGGGCTGTGGACCAGAGTTTTAATATAAAATAATCAATGAGGGCTGTGGAGCACAGGTTTGAGAGAAAATCAGCAATGGGGGACCATGGAGCAGAATTTTAGCAGAAAATCAGCCATGAGGGGCTCTGGAGCACAAGTTTTTCTGCTTGGAGGGAGCAGCTTTTCAAATGCCAAATATTGGCAAGCCCAGGTGCTGAAAAGTCAGGGTTCGGTCACTGCCAGGTTTTTGGGGAAGTAAAAGCATGAGGAGAACTATCAGAGAGGTTGACAGTGCTCAGACAGGTTGGAAAGCACCCATATCCCCTGGTCAGCCCGTGGAAGGATAAATCTTTAATCAACCAATTGATAAATCTTTAATCACCGATGTCGCCACTGGTGGGGGACACGGAGGAGACAGAGCCGCACCTTGATGCCTCACCCACCCCTTACCTTTTTCCTTGGCCTGGAGAAAGGACAAAATCCGCTCTTTTCCACCCCGCGGAAAGGACGAGGCTCCTGCCCCTCACCCCGCACACCTGGCCCAGCCCCGCAGGTGCGGGGGGAGCGCGGATACCTGAGAGGGGACCAGCCCAGGGCTGGGGAGGACGGGACGGGAGGGATGGAGGAAAGGAAGGAGGAAAGGAAGGAGGGAGAGCAGGGCAGGAGCGGGCGCTGTGTTGCCTGGAGACCGCAAACACTGCCCGGTCCGGCTGTCCCGCGGGGCGGGACCCGCCTGCGCTTCTCCCTCCTTATCCCGAGGCACCGGGCGGGATGCTCAGGGCATGGCCAGGGCAAGGATCCCCCTCATGTGACAGAAATGATCCCTCACCTTGGGGGGAGGATCCCCACCGCTTTGGGGAAAAGATCCCTCTCACCTCGGGGAAAGGATTCCACTCACTTTGGGGAAAGGATTCCACTCACCTTGGGGAAAGGATTCCATTCACCTCGGGGACAGGATTCCACTCACCTTGGGGAAAGGATTCCATTCACCTCGGGGACAGGATTCCACTCACCTTGGGGAAAGGATCCCTCTCACCTTGAGAAAAGGACTCCACTCACCTTGGGGAGAGGATTCCACTCACCTAGGGGAAATGATTCCCCTAATCTCGGGGAAAAGATCCACCTCATCTTGGGGAAAGGATCCCCATGGCCCTGGGGAAAGGATCCCCATCACTTTGGGGAAAGGATCTCTCTCACCTTGAGAAAAGGATTCCACTCACCTTGGGGAAAGGATCCTCCTCACTTTGGGGAAGGGATCCCCATCACCCTGGGGAAAGGATTCCACTCACTATGGGGAAAAGATTCCCCCACACCTTGGGGAAAGGATCCCCCTCACTTTGGAGAAGGGATCCCCATCACCTTCAGGAAACTAACCCAGATCATGACCCTCAGCAGGACAAGATACAGGGAATTACTTACACATACCAGCAAACTTTGTGATGCAGCCTAAACTTTCAATGTTATTTTTTATTAATAAGCCTTGTTTTTAATTATAAATGCCATTTTAAATAGTAATCCTCATTTTAAAATAACTTTTAATACTCTTACTTTTTAAATAATAATCCTTATATTTTAAATAATAGCCCTTATTTTTAAATCATAGCCCTTCTTTTTTAACAATTAGAGTGTTTTCAGCAGTAGATCAACTCTGTTTTTAGGAGTATTAAGCCTGATGATGTCCCTTTAAGCCAGGGCTACTCTGAAGTCCAACTCTTTCTTTCTCCACATTCTTTGACATTCAAAAGAGTAAAAAAAACCCTCTATGATGGATAGAGATTTTTTGACATTTTATTAAGAGTTTGCCCATTACGTTGATTTGATTACTTTCACTTTAATTACCCTAATTAGCCATCAAGATATAATTTAGCATTGCTGTCACATCAGGCCACAGGTGATATTGCCAGGAAAGGACTCAAGGGCACGACAGAAGCAGTTCTGAAATAGAAATCACATTAAGGGGAGCTGGGTTGATCAAACGCCTCTGCCCCTCCTTGGAGGCTCAGGCAGAGCTTGTGGGAATAAAATTGGGACTGGAGCCTCTGATGGAGCCTGGTCCAGGCTGCAAAAATCATTAACCATCATCTGACTTTGCTGCATGACTGAGTGGGCTGGAAGTTGCTTCCAGCCACGTTTTGCCCTGCAGATACAGAGAACGTGAGGGTGGCATTGTCCTCCATCCATCATTTCCAGCTGAAAAAGGCTGGTTTGGGTAAGGATGCCGTGTGCTCCCTGCTGTGCATGGATGGTTTAGGGGATGCTATGCTTGGCCAGAAAGGCAGCAGCATCACGAAATTTATTTGTTGACTTCAGGTGAGAAAAACACAACCGATTTTATGTTGTGTATCAAATTTAAATCAATTTAGGTTTCTAAGTTTGGATCTTGAAGGAATAAGAGAAGCAACATCTAAGGAGCTCAGTGGAAAAAGAATATTTCTCTGAGCCCTGGTGTGATCCCTGAGAGTGTGAGGGTTTAAACCTGTTGCTGTAAGAGGTGAAACCAGCACCAACAGTGTTTTTAAAAGAATTAAAGGTTCTTCTCCAGCCCCCAGACAATTTGTCCTGTGGGATAGATAAGACCAGCTCCTTTCCTAAAAGGATCATAAAAACACAGGGGAGGGGGTAAAATTCTGGGGATGTCTATCTAAACATTAAATATTAAGTCTGCTACACACTCATTAAATAGTAACTCTACTACAACAGCTCCTCAGGATGTCTCTGATTACTGATGAATTTTTAAAGGGAGGTGAGTGGGGAGGGAGTAAATATAGAATAAGTTTTCAAACTTTGTTTTTCCTGCTTTGCAGAGCAGGAGGTGCACAAACACATCTGCAACAGCCCTTCTCAGAGACAGGGCTGAGAAATTTTGCACTTCTTTCTTTTAAAGGATCTCAGTTCCTGCAGTGGAACCAGTCCCTTCTTTTATCTCTCTTATGGCTGTTAAATGCCACAAATAGCCAGGGCTGAGGCTGAGAAACCAGCATTTTGGGGTTGAAAATTTGGATTAAAAGGAGGATGACCTTTCTTTGACAGAAAGAAGCATAATGGGGTGGGGTATTAATAATGTAAAAAAAAAAAAATAAAAATCTTTGATTCATTTGGTGACTGTTTTTCACCCTGAGCTGTATCTGGGCTGGAGAGCAGGCACCAAATTCTGCTGTCTTTAGGCTGGTGTGAACATTCAGGCTGGGGAATGAAGATGTTTGTCCTAAATGATCCAGCCTGGGTGCCTGGGTGCCCTCCCCACTGAAGCCCAGGAGCTGTGCTGGTGTGTGAAGCCTCACGATGAAATTTCATCCCGAGGCATCTTCAGTCCCACGCCCTCAGTCTGTTGGGAGAGCTGGGCTGCCAGGAGCTCTGTTGTCAGCCTGAGGCAGGATCTCCTTCTCCTGCAGAGGGAATTTGCAGCCCTGGCACCGTGTCCCCATGTCCCCACAGCTGCTGCTGTTCCTTTGGGTCCCAGCAGAGTTCAAATGGAGACCTCTAAAGGCTGTCGGTGGCAGATCTGCTTCCTAATGCAGTCTGGTGGGAAATACTCCTTTTCAGGATGTTTCCAGCCTTTTAAATGCTGTTTTTATCCCAGAATCATTGAGGTTGGAGAAGAACTCCAGGATCAGAGTCCATCCTGTGCTCGATCCCCACCTTGTCCCCAGCCCAGAGCCCTGAGTGCCACGTCCAGGCTTTCCTTGGGCACCTCCAGGGATGGGCACTCCAAACCTCCCTGCCTTGGAGGGCGCTGCCCACCCTTTCCATGGAGAAATTCCTGCTTATTTCCATCCTGAGCCTCCCCCGGCACAGTTTGGAGTCCCTTACCCTCATCCTATCCCTGTTCCCTGGGAGCAGAGCCTGACACCCCCCAGCTCCAGCCTCCTGTCAGCGAGTTGTGCAGAACCAGGAGGTCCTCCCTGAGCCTCCTTTTCTCCAGGACTTAAAATCCTATTATAGAATATGTTAGACAGCTCTTTTCTGCTCTCCAGACAATCCTGGGTGCGTGAAGGTGGCACAGAAAGCCAAGGTGATCTCTCCATGCACTGGACTATTTTCATCTCTGCTCACCCAATAAGAATGACACCACGAGGGATCGCAGGGATCCTTGATAAGGGGCAGGATTAAGATGCACTTGAATGAGATTACAAGAAAAGAGTGGTTGTTCCATTAGAAAAAGGAATAATCTCTTTGTTTATGTTCTGGAGATTAAAGCAGTGACAGGAGGTCACCACACACAGACTGTGCTGTCTCAGTGGCTGTCTGGGCTGTGACTCTGGGATTCTGTGCAATTGCAGAATTTAATCCCTTCTCCTTGTGCTGGGAGTTCTGCAGTGGCTCCATGTGAGGCAGGGAAGTGGCTCTGCCTATTCCACAGGGTATGCTTGACTTGGAGTAAAAATCAGTGGGGTGAATGAGGGAGGCTCCCCTATGATGTTCATGGTGTTCCCTTAGGAT